TTTTTCCCATCCAGTCATTCGTTCGTTTACTGTAAAGTAAAACTAAATGTTACAAGAAACAGAAACTTGTGGCTGTCGTGTGAGCCGTAGGGATTTTATCTGTTGTGAGGTAAATGTCTGATTCGATGCCAAAAAATATATGTTTACGCAAGAGATGCCTTGGATGTTTTTTTTTTTTCTTCTGCATTAATTTCAGGCATGCCCATTCAGTCATTCATTCACTTTTTTCTTTTTAATTCCAAGAGACTTAAATATACTCAGCACTATACAGACACTAAAAAGACAAAATAATAATCTAGTTAATCTAAAACAACAAACATCATGTCCAAGCTTAAATATTGTGCCACGTTACATAACAAAGCCTAACACCCACTAGAGACCATAAAACCACAAATAGCCAAAGTTAAACGGGTAAAAATAAATGTTTTTGTGCTCCAGCTTTCCTCCCTTAACAGGTTCATGTCATGATAAATTATCCTTCATTGGTCTGCAATGTTTGGGTCAATTAAGAAATATTAAAATTGTCACATAAAGATCCAACGTTAAGCCTGGACTGACGGGTATCATGTGAGGGTGAAGATGTTTAGAGCTTCATTTTGATTGATCTGTAAATGTTTTTACTGTTACAGTCAATCACATTGTAAACTGATTTCACTTACATGTATTAGTATTATTATTAGAGCTCCACCATAATGCCTTTCTTCTTTACAGCCACATTTTTCAATGCATCTCTTCCTGTCAGTTGAATAAACCCAATTACTGCACATTTAATTCATTTGGTATCTTGGTAAATTGTGCATTTAAATTTAACAGTCACAACATAAATCACATAAATCATGATTTTTATTTGTATGTTCTCAAAAATTGGGATCTCTTCCAGAAAACGTGGCGATGCAGTTCGATGATATTTCAATAGAGCAGTGAAAATTAACACAAAAATGGTTCAACAGACACAAACAGCTTTCATTTTAAGTTCAAAAAGACTTCACCGTCACAGCAGATACACAATGTGTGTTCATTGTGAAACAATTTATTAGTATGAACATATATCTGAGAAAAGATGCAGGAAGTTACCCAATATAGTACAAAGTAACAGAGGAAGGAAAACTCTTCGAACTCAAACAGGATCATGAATCTTCAGCTGAGAATATAAATTCTTCAACACATTCTCCAGTTTTGTTTCATTTGCTTTTTCAGTGTATATATCTTTACGTAACAATATGTATTGGCTCAATAGCTGAAAGATTTGCTCCACGGATTCAGCCATCCTTCTTGTCAATGGATCTTCACTTTTCCATTTCTGTATTTTAGGGAAATAGTTAAGTATCTTCACATTAAACTGTAGTGTGTAAGCTTCAACTTCAGCTGTTTTTTGTACCTGTTGAATAAAAAAAACATTTGTATAGTCTTAGCATTCACATTCTATAAATATTTTCTTGGTGACTTACGATCATAACCATATGAGTAACATAAATGTTGACTGACCCACCTTTTGTTTGTATGCTTCATCTACAGCTTCTTGAAGAAACTGCTGAAATACTTTCTGAAATTTACAGAAAAAAGATGTGGATGTGAAAACTGATCAGATATTTAATATAAGACTGTGTTTAGAGATAATACCATCACTTTTTTAACCTTTGACTAAATAAAACCACATTACTTACAAGCTGCTTCTTGTTTGCCACGGAGTTTGCTAGGTCCAAAAGTGTTAAAATATATTCAGTACCACTTTCACTTTCTCTCTAATTAAGAAAAATGAACTTTGTTAGCAGACAGTTGTGGAGAATTTCTGAGACAGAATTGAAGCAAAAAGAGACTTACCACGAGTCTGACTGATTCTCTTGTTCTCTGTATGGCGTTTATTAACATGTACTAGAATTTACAAGAAACACAGTTCCACAATTAAGCAGGTACAGTTATGTATGTTTTCCATATAAACTAAAGTACATTTGTTTCATCTAGAAAAATCCAGTTTACCAGTGAATTATTTTCAAAATCCAGTGACAGACCAACGTGAACCAGAAACAGCAGGGAGACGATTCGGAAAAGGTTTCTGTTGAACCTCAGAGCCTCCAGTCTTCTACGTCCTGCTGCAGCCATTATTTCTGTGATTGGATTAACCTGAGGGATTAAAACCACCAATCATGATTGAAATAAAATGAGATTTTAAAAAAATCTAATCTTTAAAGATCGTACCTGTAGGAGAATCAACGATGAACTGAAGGATAATGGGAGAAAAATGGCAGCTGTTTTTTAAAACTGAAAGCAGCTGGGATGGGTAAACAGAAAAAAAAAACCAGGAGAAGAAAACATTTACTGCCACAACAGGCTTGGTCACGTACGAAACTTGTAAGTTGACAGTCAGGTTTTTTGTGAGCAAGATCCGAATAATAAAAGTTTCACTTTCTATTGTTTGCATATTATGTCAATATTAAGCGACTGAAAGGAGAGCTTGACAATTGTCAACATATGTGCCATCTTGTGAGTTCAGCTCTCCAACCATTCTGAACAAAATTAAACATTAAACAGAAGGATGATGCTCTTTTTTATTAGTTAAATTAAATGGTATGTTAGACGTATTTTACAGGAGAACAGATGAAACCAGAGCGACCTTGCCTATTTGCATCTTGACTTCTATGCTGGACGTATTTTCAACCACCTAACAGGTGGTTGAAAATACAGTCATCAAATACTTGTTCCTCATTCTGACTCTGCTGTTTGTGCTTTCCATCGGATGGTTACTCATATTTAACAACCCTGTGGTAAACAGCTTTTTGATTTTCTTTCCTTTCAAATGAATATCTAAATGCACATACCGTTCCTTCATGCATCACGTCTGTATGCAATTCTTCAGGTGACTTGTTCGTATGTTTTTGCTCATTTCAGGACTTGTTGAAGGAAAGTGTCAAGGCGTTGATAGAGGAATCAGTCAAGATGAATGTGGGTCTTTTTTTGTTCTCCTGGTGTCTGTCTCCTGCATGAGCATAAAACTGCTGTGCATGTTGTGTCTTTACTTTGATGTGAAGTGAAATGTGTATAAACTAGTGCAACAGCAGCAGCAAAAACATTTCTGTAATTTTAAAAGTTTTATTTTGTACCTTCAGAAAGAAGAACAAAGTAGGCTTGAAACTCTCTCAAGACTTCTGGATGATGCAAGGTCACTGAAAACCGAGGAAGATCTGGTAAAGTTTTATTTAAATGAATTATGTAAACGGTTTAGTCGAAAGTCACATGTACAATTTGTGAATCATCTTTTTGATCAGTGGCCACTCATACTTAGTTTTGATTTGATTCAGTCATCGAAGATTTTTATGAAAACAACAGCAAAATACCTTCTTCTTATTTATTTTTTAAACATTTTGTTGCTTTGTAACTTGCATTGTTTTGTAATGAACCAAATCACAACATTTTATGACAATGATCAGATTAAATAAACATTGGCTTGGTATAATAATAATAATTATAATGGTTATAATAATAACCATTGTGCCTTGTTTCTGTATAAGAAGTATATTGTTTACTGTTTATGTGTGGGTTCCCAGGCCTCCACACAATATGACATACAACTTTTGGGTCTCAGTTCTTTCCAAATTTCTTATTCTTACTAAATGTAAACAAAGTACATTCTCACAAATGCTCTTTCTCTGGTAAATTTCAGGAGACATTCAAGCAGACCCTCAGGAAAGCAGTGAATGAAGCGTTTGAACAAGAGGTGGGTTATGTTACTTTTATCATAATCACAAATCAAAAACTCTACTTACTGTAAAACATCGGACTTCTTTTGTCTTCCTGCAGACTGAAATGAAGTACAGAATTGCAGCCTCTATTGAACAGTTCGAATACAAGATGAAGGAGCTTCATCCCAGTCTGGAAGTCGTGAAACGGGGATCAAAAACAGATCCAAAAGCAAAGCGACTGGTGATGGTGGTGGAGCGAGCCATGAGACGAGTGAAGGCCTTCTTAGAGCTGAGACTGAGGGCCTTTGCTGAAGGAGAAAAGTACACTGAAGAAAATCTGAATTACATTTCAAATGTTTTAAATTCTCAACAGGATCTACATGATGTGTAACCACTGACAGCTTCCTGACTCTGTTTAATTCAGTATATATAATGGCAAGATTGGCTTTATGTTTGAGTAAATCATGTTTATTTAAAAATTACAAAATACTTTACAACTTGATGCTTGAAGTCAGAAAATTTCTAGATTTTAAAACTTTTTTTTGTTTAACTGTTTGATGTTCTTTAATTAATGATTTATTGTGTACACAGATTAGTTAAAACCCTAAAGCCCAAATAAAAACAAAAGTAATTATTTGGAAGTTATTTCTTTTTGTTCTAATGTATAAATGCTGTAGTAAGACTTGTGTGACAATTATACATTTTTTTGGGTAAAAAAAAAGCAAATAAATTACTTTTCTTTACTCCATGTCGCTTCATCTTGTGATCTGTTTAAATTAGTTTCTATAAACTCTTCTGAATAAGCACTTTTTTTTTGCAATCAGAACCAATTTTTCACCACTTCTACTATGCTTCAGTTCATGGATTTTTTTTCATTATTTAAATGTAATTATACATTGAACCATTTTGAGGAAGTAACTATAGATCTTCTGACGGGCATCTCACTATGTAAGCTTCAAATAGAGCTTGTGTGGTTTAGTGTTTTATGGTTGCATTAGGAAAGAAACATGAAACTGAATATAAGTTGGATAAAATTTATTGTTGGTAATTTTGAAGAACACAGGAGGATTTTATAAAAGAGAAATCATTTCAGTAAGTGAGCAGACACACTATGTAAATATTATATAAACATAACTTTTACATATTTTTTTTGTCTGTTAGGTTTGTTACAAGTGTTTTCAGTTGTGTCAGCTTCTCTGTGCAGTTCTTGATGTTTGCAGCTTGATTCAGCAGCTCTTTAATGGCCAAACCTTTCATTTGCTCCAGGAAGTCGATCATCTCTTTTATGAGTTTTAGCACAAATTTGGAATATTCCCTTCAGCGTTTCCACCGAACTGTCCAATATCTGTGAGACATCATCCACAAGCTCAGGAATGAAATTAAGGTCAATCGTGTTAATTGCCTGAATGAAAAATAAAAACATCAGCAGCATTTTAAACAAGGTAACATTAAAAGTGTTGATTTTCATTTTTGAGGTTGTTTTGCTCACTTTTCTCCTGGCGGCATCATGTTGCAATTTCTGAATGTCTCTTCTTATTTCTCTCTGCAAATTGAGAGATTATTAAGGTATATTTAAAATCAGAAGTAAAACCAATAACCAACAAAGCATGCATTCAAGATTGACTTGATGTGAAAATTTTTTTCAAATTACTTGTCTATTTTAATAAAATTAAAGTTTACCAGCTCGTCGTCGTCAATCCAAGAACTTGCAGAGCAGAGCAGAGTCAGCAGAACGAACATGAGGAAAACAACTTTAACTCTTAAGGCAACCATTGATCTGCTTCTAGATGAGAGAACAGCTGCCATCAGTGTTTCAACTGACAAGTGCTTACAAACACAAATACATATTTAATGTTTATTGTCATACCTTTTTGCAGTTGATTTATTAAAGCTTCCTTTCCTCGCCTTCGCTGTGGCAGACCGGTCCGTTCAGCTGCTCGTCTTCTGTGACAATAAAAAAAAAAAAAAAAAAAAAACAGAAACCAAGGGCTGGTTTTCTCATTTATTATTTTTGCTTTCATTTACTGGCACGTACATCCTTCAATGGGATTTTGACGTTTTTGCTTTTTGCAGACTTAAAAAAAATGGACGTATGCTGATGTTAACCTATGAAACGAATTATGACTTTTAAAAATGGTCATGCATGCATTAATCATTCTGTAAACACTGGTGGTAAAGCTAAAACTCCTGTTTTAAACCAAAGCAAAATGAACCACAGCAACAACAGAAAAATACATTTTAACGTTTCCAGGTTCCTGCAGCTCATATTCAGTTTAAGTTACCTCCTCTATAATTGCACTATTAAAACAATAGTTTTTAGCATTCCAGCTTCTAAGAACTACATTTTATTTTGCTGCTTTTTTTTTAAACTGCAAAAGCAGAGGAACTATTATTTTAGAGCTCTGATAAACATTTCACATCCTGCAACGTTCACTCTTTACCTTCACAGCAGGAGACACTACCTTCTGTAAACATTTGTCTGATCTGCAGTGACCAAAAACATCTTAATGTAATTTGGATGAATTTCTATTTTCCAGTTGTCTCAGTTTACTTTTTTCCACTTTTTGTGTTTTTCATATGTGGATCAAGTATCATTGTGACTTCAAAGTGAAACTGAAAAGAGCATAACTCTCCTGAATGACATCCAATCAAATGCTGAGGGTGTGTGTGTGCATGACAATCCAAGTATATTCAAAGCATTTATTATCCTTCCTTTCATTTCTGTTTCCTGAAGAGCAGCTCTCTCTCTACAGCACAAGGTATGATTAAACTCCCATTTACACAAACTGGTAAAAAAAATTTTTGGGAAATAATTATTTTACCTCTGACCTGACTCTCTGTTAAATATATTTTTAATATTTTTGTTTCAGAAGCAAATTCAGAGCCGTGATGACAGCCTTGTCCTTGGTTGGGCTCAGAAAATATAAAGACTTTGTCTTCATGATTACTCTGCTCAGCCTGCTCTGTCCTGCAGGTTCATGGATAAGCAAGAAGGACCTGGTATACTTCTTCTTATTTTTAAATTAGATAACAATCATAGTTTCAAAAAGGTTATGATGTACACTTGTTTTTTTTCCCCTTTGTTACTTTTCTTTCCTTGTAAATGTTTGTATCTTTCCTCTCTGAATTTCCAGCAAAAAATGAAGGAAAATATTCAGACGCTGCAAGAAGATGCAACAATGAGAAAAGTAAAAAAAGCCAACCCCCCCAAAAAAAACTGCACACATCTTTATAAAGTCATGGAGTGCTGCAATGACTTAATCATTGTGTTTGTTTGTTTCAGCTTGAAAACAAGTTGGACAAGGCTCTACTGACTTTGCTCCTTGAAGAAGTGACACGTGTTACAGACCTTTCAACTGAACTTCTTAAGACGTTGTCACTAGATCTTCAATTTCCCATTGAACAACTACAGGACCTGAAGAAATTACTGGTGGAAAGCCAGCAAGTTATGCCAAAAAAGTTTCAGGATGAAGCCGAACAAGTCAAGGAATATGAAGAGACACTCGCATATTTGGAGACATTTGTATCAAACTTAGCAGATGAGCATACTGACTTGTAAAATGTGTAGCAAAAACTTTATCCCTGGGAAAACTAATTACCCAGAACTATAAATCTACCTGGTGTCTGTTTACTGTGGTTAAGAAAACAGTTCTGATAAAATGTCTGAATCACTTCTATTGCTTTTAAAGAACAATAAAAAGAGGTGAGCGATAATAAAAAGACCTCAATAAACTGGTAGATAATTCTTTAGCTGAAGTAGATTTTAAATGAGATGCTATGTGTGAAAGCCTGCTGAGTGTTTGACAAACATGCACTTGTGAAATAAAAGAATGAGTAATACTACTTTTTCAGTGATTTTATTCAAACCCTACTGAAAGCTAAAACTGTATTTAATGTGTGAATTTTCACTCTCATGGGGCAAAAGATGAATGAATCTGATTTACAACAAAATCTTAGATTATACTTCACACTTTAAAATGTATGACTTATTCCAATTACGGACTCAGAAAGTTAAAATACGCAAAGAAACAAACACCATAAAAATCACATCAAGCATCATTTTTATAAATTTTTTGAGATTTGGTAGAATATTAACAGAAATAATGACCTCACCCAGATAATTCAGGCTTAAAACAGAACATTGATTAAAGACAAATGAATAAGTCAACACAAAAATGGTTTAACAGACACAAACAATCTCGTCCTGGAACTCCAACAGACCGAAAACGTTCAAGTTCTACATGAGTATATATCTTAAAATATTCGTATTATCCAAGTAATTATCCGGTAACATATCTTATATACAGCTACTATGCAAAGAAACAGCAACAGGAGTATTATCTTCACTCCAACAGGATTATGACAGTTTTGCCGGGATTTTAAATTATTTAGTGCATCCTCCAGTTTGGTCTCTGTTTCCTTTGTTTCCTGTGTAAACATGTTTTTCTTTAGCTTTAGGTAATTTCTAAATATCTCCAACATATGCTCCATGCTGTCCGCCAGTGGTTTGGATAGAGTTTGCATTTTAGCTAAATATTCTGGGATCATCATATGAAACAGTTGTCCAGATACTGTAATTTCAGCTTTTTTTCTACCTGTAGGATTAAAAAGCAAAAGATAGTTTTAGTATTACAATTTTTTTAACATGATATTTTGTTAGTCTCATAAATAACTAACATTTGATTAATATAAAGGCAGACTGACTCACTTTCTGTCGGTATGCTTCATCTACAGCTTCTTGAAGATACTGCTGAAATATTTTCTATATTTAATCAGGGGAAGAATGTGGAAATGAAAACTGGTTAGATATTTAATAAGAGTTTTAAGAGTTAGATTTTGATTGTTGATTCTGTGTTGCATGTCTGTGTGTTTTTTGTGTTTATTATGTAAAGCACTTTGAAATGCTTTGCTGCTGAAATGTGCTACACAAATAAAATTTGATTGATTTATTGATAAGATTGTGTGTTTAGGCAATGCAGTTGTCATTGTTTTAACTTTCGACAAAGTAAAACCACATTACTTACGAGCTGCTTCTTGTTTGCGACAGAGTTTGCGTCATCCAAAAGTGTTAGGATATATTCAGTACCACTTTCACCTTCAATCTAATAAAGAAAAAAATTATTTTAGCAGAAAACAGTTGAGCTCTGTTTACTATTCATGTAATATAGAGAATTTTTCAGGCAGCAAAAAGACTTACAATGACTCTGATTCCTTCTCTTACTCTTTGTATGCCATTCATCAATTGTGCTAGAATTTACAAGAAACACAATACCACACTTATTAATTTGCAATTATCTAGGTATTATACATTAACCACAACACGTAAACGTCAGCTGCTCACTTTGAAAATCCTGTGTCTGTCCGACGTGAAGCAGAAACAGCAGGGAAACGATTCGGAAAAGGTTTCTGTTGAAGCTAAGAGCCTCCAGTCTTTGTCCTGTTGCAGCCATTATTTCTGGGATTAAAATACTTAAGAAGTCTAGAAAACCCACAAACTGTAATGGATTCAATATATATATTTTTTTTAAATCAAGTTTTTAAAACCTAATTAAAACTGATGACTTTCTACATCTACAGATCCTACATGTGGGTGAATCAAAGGTGGACTGAATGAAGAATCAGAGAACACAACACAATACTTTTAAGATTGAAAGCAAAAGGGAAGTCATGTGAGTTGTAATATGAGAAAGGGAAGGACCGTGAGAAAGAAAAACACATCTGATACCTGCATCCGGCTCGGTCATATTATTAGTGTTGACAGAAAACTATCCAGTTTATGTAAGAATCAGGTTCAGTGGTGAAAGAGAAAATAAGACACTTAATTAACTGTCATTGTGTTCATTTGGCACTTTATTAGACACCATAAAGAAACATTAAAGCCTTAATAACTAGAAAGTTGAAGATATATTTAGTTTGGTAACCAGTAACAACTAACATCTGATGTCTCAGAGGAGCCACATAATCACAATAAATTAAGGGATTTCTAACCCACACACAAAGCAGAGGAACAATTATTTTAGAGCTCTGGCAAACATTTTAGATCCTGCAAAGTGTACTCTTCACCTTCACCAAGGTGTTGCTGGCAACTGTAAATATTTGTCTGGTCATCATTTCTTGAGCCGGTGCTTCAGTTTGTTGCAGAGCCAAGAATTTGGTTTCTGTAAAATTTCAAATATACTCCAGTTTCTAAACAACTTGATGTAATTTGGATAAATTTCTGTTTTCCAGCTGTCTCAGTTTACTTTTTTCTTCTTTGTGTGTTTTTCATATTTGGATTAAGCAGCATTGTTACTTCAAAGTGAAACTGAAAAGAGCAGAGCTCTTAGCTCTTAGCATGTGATCCAATCACATTTTAAGGGTGTGTGTGCGTGTGCGCGTAACAATCCAAGTATATTGAAAGCATTTATTGTCTTCCTTTCATTTCTGTCTCCTGTAGAGCAGCTCTCTCTCCAGCACAAGGTATGATTAAACTCCCATTTACACAAACTGGTAAAAAAAACAAAAAAACAATGGTCACATTCTATCTTCAACAGGACAAAATCATAACAGAAATGCTTTACCTCTGACCTGACTCTCTATCAAATATATACATTTTTGTTTCAGAAGCAAATTCAGAGCCGTGATGACAGCGTTGTCCTCGTTCAGAAGCAGATGGGTGGTTGGGCTCAGAAAATATAAAGACTTTGTCTTCATGATTACTCTGCTCAGCCTGCTCTGTCCTGCAGGTTCATGGATAAGCAAGGAGGAACTGGTATGCTTGTTATCTTTGAAAATTGTAGTTTTAAAAAGCTTGTAATGTACATTTGTTGTTTTTTTCCCCCCTAGTTATTTTATTGCCTTTGCAACTCATTGTAAATGTTTGTATCTTTCCTCTCTGGATTTTCAGCAAAAATTGAAGGAAAATATTCAGACGCTACAAGAAGATGCAGCAATAAGAAAAGTAAATAAAATAGATAACACAAATCTTTATAAAGTCATGGAATGCACAATGAATTAATTTGATTATTTCTTTGAATTTTTGTTTGTTTCAGCTTAGCAACAAGGTGGACATGGCCCTCCTTCCTTTACTCCTTGACCAATCTATGGATATTCTAGACATTGAGAGTGAAATACTTAAAATGTTATTATCAAGTGATCTATATCCCGCTAAAGACTTAAAGGACATGAGAAGGTTCCTGGCCGCAGCACATGACTTTTTGCAAGAAAAGTTTCAGAATGAAGCCAAACAAGTGGAGCAATATGAAGACACACTCACATATAAGGAGACATTTGTAGCAAACTTAGAAGAGAACCATGTTGACTTTTAAAATGTGTAACCTGGTTCCAGAACCTTTATTTCTAGGAAACCTAATTACCCAGAAATATTAATCTTCTTTGCCATTTGTTTTTATTTTATTTTATATATTTTATAAAATACTTCTGCTAAAATCAAGAAGCTGCTGACCTTCATTTTTGTCTACATCAATAGCCTGTTAGTCCCTGCTCAGCTCAAGTAGATTTTAAATTAAATGTTGTGTCTAAATGTCCAGTACAGTTGCTGAATGTTGGTGTGAGCAATTAAATAAAGTGATTGATTAAATAAAAGTAAAACCAATTATTCTTTTGCAGTGATTTCTTGAACTGTGTAACCAAACAAACAAAACACACTTTTCATAAACCCACAATAAAAATGTTAATGTTCTATTTTTTTTTAATAATGAGTAACACTTTGTTCTCTATGAGATTATCAAATTGAAAAATAACTGTTTTGTAGCAAATGGAAAGTTCAGACTTTTATGTGGGGTTATTTTAAGTGGCAAGGAGTTGAGTAATGGTTTGAAGCTTCAATGAAGCAGTAAACATCTAAAAACAAAATCAGGAAATCTTAAGTCACTTGTTCTTTTTAAATATGAATGAAAGTTTAATCCTACAGTCTCAATACTTAGGATGTCTCATATTTATAGTTGTATACTATGAGAAATTGTGAACCTACTTTTTGAATAAGTTTTACTAAATAAACCTGCACAATAACATGCAAATAAGGCACAGGGACTCTACGGACTAATATTACATTTTTAGTTCAGTGTTCAGTTGTGTTTTTTGCATGTTTTTATTCTGTTGTTATTTATGAAGTGATGTAAAATGTGTATTTTTGTTACAGTCGAATGGCATTTATTTATTTGCCCTAGTTATAATATGCCTCAATTGTAAAATGAAAAACTAATAAATAAATAAAAACTCAATCAAAATGATAAGAAACAGCAAAATAAAATTAGCTTAAAATCACACTGGAAATAAGTTCCATTTTGTAAAGCATTACATTAAATAAATGAAAACAAACATAACATTAATAAAACAACTTTTTTAACTTATTAATCAAAATTGATATTCTGATGAATAAAATATCAAATTGTAATCTGGAAAATCAAAGGTAAAGCATGTGAAGGTAATATAAACCAGAATGGAAACATTGCAGTTAAGGAGCTTAACAGTTCACTGAAAATATTTAGTAGTGAGGCTGAGAAGCAATATAAATTTTAATAAAGTAAAAATAAGAAGACTCCACAAAAAACACATTGATTGTCATCTTTATTTTTGTGAACATGCTACCACATCTTGTAAAATAAATAATGACCTCTCCCAGGAAACATAAAAATGTAGTTTAGTGATCCTTCAGTGATTAAAGTTATATGACTAAATCAACATAAAGAAATGGTTCAACAGACACAAACACAACCTTCTCCTTTTGTCCCCAGACCTAAATCATGCAAAGTTCTAAAAGAGTTATACTTTACTGCAGGCACAAAATGTCAGTTTATTGTGAAACAATTTATAAGTATGAAAATATACAAGAACAGATGCGGGAACACATCCAATAAAGTGCTAATAAGCAAACAAACAAGACTGGTAAATTATCAAAAAGATAGTTAATTTTCTTCCTGTATTTGAATTTATTCAAAGTATTTGTCAGTTCTCCGTCAATCTCTTCTAAACTTCTGTAGAAGACGTCTCTCTTTAACTTTAAATAAATCCTATATACTTCAAGGCGTTCCTCCGTGTCTTTAATTAACTTTTTCAGCAATGAATGAAAAAATGGTGACTTTTGATGCAGTTCAGGATCATCCAGGATCTTACGAAGACCGTGCATCTTCAATGTAATATCAGATGATTGTTCGACCTTTAGGAAAAGAAAAGGAAATAAATTATAAATATTTTGTTAAAATAACTGACATTTGATCAATATTAAGGTAGACTATCCAACCATTTGTCTGTATGATTCATCTATAGCTGCTTGAAGATATTGCTGAAATATATCCTGTAATTAACCAGAAAGAAAGTAGATTTGAAAACTGTGAGACTGTGTTCAGAAAATACTGCAGTTACTCTGTTAACCTTCGACAAAATAAAGCCATATTACTCACAAGATGCTTCCTGGTTGCCACAGGGTTTGCCTCATCCAAAAGTGTTAAGATAAATTCAGTGCCTCTTTCTTCTGCCTAATAAAAAAACTAAAACTTTATTAGCAGACGTTTGATTTCTGTTTGTTGTTAATCTAATGTGAAAATGTGTCACACAAATATGAGCAAAAAGGAAACTTACGAAGTGTGTGACAAATTCTTTCATTTTCTCCCAGTCTTTGACAAACTCGTTCCTAAGCTTCAAAGGAAGACAGACAAAATATTTTGTCAGTACAATTATGAAGTTGTTGTTCATAAACCAAATATAGATTTTAACATGTTTAAATCTTTCTAGAAAAAGCCAATTTACCTGACGATCTTCAGAAACCATTGACTGTCCAATGTGAACTAGAAACAGCAGAGCAATGATTCGGAAATGGTTTTTATTGAAGCGCAGAGCCTCCAGCCTCCTTCTTCCTGCTTCTGCCATTATTTCTGGGATTTAATCTACCAGGAGAAAAGACACAAATTGTGATGGATGTAATTACAAATTGAAATAAAACAAAAAAATGTTGAAAACCCAGTTAAAATGCAAAATTTTCAAGTCTCAAAGATCTCACCTGTGAGTGACTCAAACATGAACTGAATAGGAGAGAACAACACAGCTGTTTAGGGTTAGGATCTTACCCTAACTGAAAGTAGAAGTCAAGCAACATGGGTGGCAACATGAGAAAATAAAAAAAACACAGGAGGAAGAGAAACATTTACCAACAGCCACATCCACCTTGGTCACATTATTAATGGACGAAAACGAAAGAAAACAAAAAAATAAGTTTTTCTTTCATACTCTAAACAATAGTGAACTTGGGAATCAAGGTTTAAAGCCCCAGATGTTTTTGTATAGTGCTTTCTTTAAGTAATACATTTGGGGGGGAAAAGCCATAAAAATAAATTGAAAAAATTAAACAGCCATGTGGAAACTTTTCATTATCTCTCATTAGTTTTTCTCTTCCCTTTGGAAGTTTGGATTTTCACTTACTATTATTCTCTCCAATTCTCTTCTGACACATTTAACATTTCTGAATTTTAATATGGACCTTGAAATGGGGTAGAGTTTTGATAAATACTGGGTGCAGGACCAGAGACCGGTTAAGATTCAATTGCTGTAATAAAATAATTACAAACCTGAATGGGGCTGGATAACATTCAGTGTAATACTCCAACAGTGGTTTCTCTTTCAGGGCTATTTGCTGCAGTTAAATATTTGAACATGGCAATATGACTCTGGACAGGGTGCACCGGACTCTCCAAACAAAGCCAGTACAAGATGATTTGCCACCAAGCGCGTTTGTGGTTAAATGTCACTACTAAAAATAATTGCTTCTGAAAAAGACAGCAGAGGCTGGGGCGAAAACAACCGCTGATGGTGACAATATCCGCATCCTGCCGGACTTCATCCAAGCTGTGAGTAAACATCGCGCCGCTTTTTTACCGAAGTAAGGAAACTTTTCCGCAGCTGCGCTGGAGTCCGCGACGGCCTCAGACCGTACCCGGCGACGTTAAGGATTACTACGGCGGATGGACAAGAAACGACCATCAAGGATCCAAAGCGTGCGAAGGAGTTTGGTCTGAAGGAGTTGCTGAGCGCTGGAGCGTCCCACTGAACATGTGCTGGAGACATTAGGACTGGACGGTGCCATTGCAGGACAATTACCAACATTAGTGCTGAACAATTGAATCTTACAGGTAATGGCATATTGAGCCTTGTTGTGCGTTTTCCTTATTTAAGGGACATACCATAATCTCTACAAACTTCAAATTCTAAGTTTTGGCATTTTTGATACCTGTATTTTTTTAATGGAGCCTCGCCATATTTGGAATATGTGAGATTATTGCTGGAATATGTGAGATTATTGCTGTAGAAATTGCTGTAGCAACATTACGTTTAATAATTATCAATTATTATGATCTTGCAACTCAGCCAACGTGGTAAGTATTCTATCAGTGTGGATGGTGAGGAGACATACTGCGAGAACTGACAGTATAGCGGTCTCCTTATGAGGCTATTTCTTGTTCTTTCTTTTTCTGTTCTTTTTCTCTGTTCAATTATAGATGCTTTGTTGATTTTTGAGTTCATTATTCCCCTCTTTTGGATAATTTTTCATTAAAGCCATCATTTCACTGCAACCTGGGTCTGCTGCTTCTCCCTCACCGCTACTCACCACATCTTATGACAGGGCTACATGTTGGATGCCTCCTTTACTGAGTCCTATCTATGACCTCTGCAAATTATAAGGCACTAACCAACCCCACTTTGGTGTGCTGGAATGTCAGAGGTTAAAACCATCTGGTCAAATGCAACAAAGTATTCTCTCATCTTCATAAATTGCAAAGTCGCATCATTTACTTACAAGAAACCAACTTGCTAAACAAAGATCAATGAAAGTCAATGAAATGCTAAAAAACAGGCAGTGAAAGTGAATCTTGCACTAATGCAGGGATTAATCATTCCATTAAGTTAAAATTGCTGTTTTAAACCAATGCAAAATTAATCACAGCAACAACAGAAAAATACACCTTTACATTTCCAGGTTCCTGCAGCTCATGTTCAGTCTAAGTTGCCTCCTCTATAATTGCACTATTAAAACAATAGTTTTTAGCATTCCAGCTTCTAAGAACTACATTTTCTTTTGCTACCATTTTTTTTACTGCACACAAAAGCAGAGGAGCTATTATTTTAGAGCCTTGACAAACATTTCACATCCTGCAACGTTCACTCTTTACTTTCACAGCAGGGGAAAGTAAATGTAAACATTTGTCTGATCTGCATTTCCTGAGCCGGTGCTTCAATTTGTTTGCAAAGCCAAGAATTTAGTTTCTGAAATATTTCAAATATACTCCAGTTACAAGGACATCTTAAGTAATTTGGATAAGTTTCTGTTTTCTAGGTGTCTCTGTTTCTTTTTTCTTCTTTTAAGTAGCATTGTTACTTCCAAGTCAAAATGAAAAGAGCATAACTCACCTAAATGACATCCAATCAAATGCTGAGGGTGTGTGTGTGGATGACAATCCAGGTATATCTAAAGCATTTATTGTCCTTCCTTTCATTTCTGTCTCCTGTAGAGCAGCTCTCTCTCCAGCACAAGGTATGATTAAACTCCCATTTACACAAACTGGTAAAACATTTTTTTTTGTCACATTCTATCTGTAATGGGAAATAAATGCTTTACCTCTGACCTGACTCTCTGTCAAATACATTTTTAAATATTTTTGTTTCAGAAGCAAATTCAGAGCCGGGATGACAGCCTTGTCCTCGTTCAGAAACAGATGGGTGGTTGGGCTCAGAAAATATAAAGACTTTGTCTTCATGATTACTCTGCTCAGCCTGCTCTGTCCTGCAGGTTCATGGATAAGCAAGAAGGACCTGGTATACTTCTTCTTATTTTTAAATTAGAGAACAATCACAGTTTCAAAAAGATAATGATGTACACTTGCTGTTTTTTCACCCTATTTATCTTACTTCCTTTGTAAATGTTAATATATTTACTTTCTGAATTTTTAGCAAAAAATGAAGGACAATATTCAGAAGCTCCAAGAAGATGCAACAATGAGAAAAGTAAAACAAAAATACAGAACATACATTTTTACAAAGTAATGGAATGTTGCAATAAATAAATTAATTAGTTTATTTATTTAATTTTTTGTTTGTTTCAGCTTCTTAACATGGTGGACATGGCCCTCCTTCCTTTATTCCTTGAAGAACTGACAATTATTATAGACCTTGCAACTCAGATCATTAGCTGGTCATTACCAGATCATATATTTCCCCGTGGACAAGTAAATGATGTAATAAGATTCCTGTTGGACAGCCAGGATTTTCTGAAAAAAAAGTTTCAGAATGAAGCCGAACAAGTCAAGGAATATGAAGACACACTCTCATATTTGGAGACATTTGTAACAAACTTAGCAGATGAGCATACTGACTTGTAAAATGCAAAGAATCTCTCCAGAACTTTTATCATTGGGAGAATACTTCTGCTAAGACCAAAAAAACTGCTTGTTTAATTTCTGTCTGCATCAATAGGCTGTTCCTAAGCAGAAGTGCATTTTAAATGAGATGTTATGTATAAATTCCAGTACAGTTTCTGAGTGTTGGTGTGAGCAATGACATGAAGTGATTGATTAAATGAAAGTATAACCAATGATTCTTTTGCATTGATTTCTTTAACTGTAAGACTAAACAAAAAAACCTCACTTTTCATAAAACAACATTAAAAACGTTAAATAGGATTTTTTTAGTAATGAGTTACATTATCCTGAACATGAGTGTGTCATGCACAGCACAGACAAGTAAACTCAAAAGGATCTGGAAATCCTTATGTAGGTTTATATTAAATAGCAAAATGGTTTGAAGGTTTAGTCAAACAATATACATTAGCAAACAAAATCAGGGAATCTTAAGTCACCTGTTCTTTTTAAAATGAGTTTAATTCTACAGTTTGCATACTTAGAATGTCTGATATTTATAATTTTTTATCACTTGCTTAACTAAATAGTCAATGAGAAAATGTGACTGCACATTTTGAATAAATATTACTAAATAAAGCCTCACAATAACATGCAAATAAGGTACAAAGACTACAGGTAAACAATACATTTCTAGTTTTGGTCAGTTTTTTTAAACATGTTTTATTTTTTTTATTTTTATTAAACTATGTGAAACATGTTTGTTACATTCAAATAGCATTTATTTATTTACCTTCATAATAATAAAGAGAAAAACTATGAGAAACAGCAAATAGCCTTGGCTTAAAATCACACTGGAAACAGATTAAATTTTGTAAAACATTGTAGGCTATTATACAAATGAAAACAAATGTAACATTATAAAACAAAACAAAAATAATATTTAACTTATTGATCAGTTAGTCAAAATTGAAATTATGATGGATAAAAAGTCAAGTTGTAATTTAGAAAATCAAAGGTAAAGCATGTAAAGGTAATATAAACCACCATGGAAACCATTGCAGTTAATAAGCTTAACAGTTGACTGAGAATATTTAGTAGTGAGGAAATTTTATGGCTGGGCAATAAGTATTTTACTAAGTTAAAAATATGAATAAGAGAAAAATAGAAGACTTCACAAAATAACACATTGTCATCTTTATTTTTGTGAACATGCTACCACAAAATAAATAGCAACCTTTGCCAAGAAGCATGAAAATGTAGTTTAGTGATTGTTGTGGCCATGTTAGGCTAAATTTTGTGAATTATAATTTCTACCAATTTAGTCTTCTTCTTCTTTGGGTAGTTAAAAACAAGTTAGAAGGTAGTTAAGTTGATTTAGATCCAAAATTTGTAAATAACTTTTATATTTGTAATTGTTTAGATTACATTGATAATTGTTAGATCCTCCCATGAATTTGAGTAATTAACAACACACCGGGTGCTTGGTGGAGGTCTATTGTTTGGTAAATGTCTGGTGTGTTGACGGAAGGTTTTGTAAATTATTTTTTGGCCACTTTTTAGAGCTTCAAACATCAAATTGAGATCATTTTTCGTTTTTGACTAAGTTGCAAGACATTTTTATAAATTATTTTGTCTCTACTTTTGTAAGAAATAAATCATATATAGTTTTACAAAACAATCAAGTTGGAAGTGCGTGCAAATCAAGCCACCTATTTCCACCCAGAGTGTGGGTGGAAATAGAAGGTCGTGACAATGATTCTTCAGTGATTAAAGGTATATGAACATAAAAATGGTTCAACAGACACAAACACAACCTTCTCCTAAATCCTAAATCATGCAAAGTTCAGAAAGAGTTAAACTTTACTGCAGATACAAAATATATGTTCATGATGAAACAATTTATAGGTATGAAAATATACAAGAACAGATGCGGGAACACATCCAACAAAGGGCTAAAATGCAAAGTATCACGACTGGTTTAATTTCATAAAGAAAGAGAATCTTCTTCCGTAATGTAAGAATATTCAACGTCCATGTCAGTTTTGTTTCAGTCTCCTTTGTTTTTCCATTGAAGGTGTCTTTCTGCAACGCTACGTAACTCACACATAATCCATGGAGTTGCTCTATGGCTTCAATTAACCTTGTCTTCGATTGATGAGTAAATATTGACTTTTTCGTTTCTTTAAGGTAACATTCAGTGTTCATGATCAAATTGCAAATCCGTTGCATGCCCATTGTAAAAGATGACATTTTGACCTATTAAGAATATATAAAAAAAACATTTAGACAGTCTTATTATTCACATTTTTATAAATATTTTGTGAACCTTTTAAATAAATAACATCTGAGTAATATAAAGGTAGGCTGACCCACCTTTTGTTTGTGTGCTTCATCTACAGCTTCTTGAAGATATGGCTGGAATAGTTCCTGTAATCAATCAGAGAAAGAATATACATTTGAAAAATGGTTATTTAATATAAGACTGTGTTTAGAAAATACTACTCTGTTAACCTTCTACAAAATAAAGCCATATTACTCACAAGATGCTTCTTGTTTGCTACAAACTTTGCTTCATCCAAAAGAATTAAGATAAATTCAGTACCACTTTGTACTTCTCTCTAATGAAGAAAAAAAAGCTTTATTAGTAGACATTTGAGTTCTGTTTGCTGTTAATTTAATGAGGAAAATATGTCGCACAAATATGAGCAAAAAGGAAACTTACAAGGTATGTGACTAATTCTTCTGCTTTCTGCAAGTTATTCACCAAGCTTTCAACATTCTTACAAGGAAGACAAAAGCAAGATTTTATGAACAATTATGAACGTTTTGTACATAAACTAAATATACGTTAGAACATGTTAAAATATTTAAAGAAAAAGCCAGTTTACCCTATAATCTCTAAAATCCAGTGACTGTCCAATGTGAAGCAGAAACAGCAGGGAAATGATTCGGAAAAGGTTTTTGTTGAACCTCAGAGCCTCCAGTCTTTGTCTTGCTTCAGCCATTATTTCTGTGATCGAATCAATCAGGAGAAAAAGCACAAATCAGGATGCATATACTTACCAATTAGAATAAAATTATTTTCTTAAAAACATAATTAAAATGCATAACTTCCCAGTCTTAAAGATCTTACCTGTAGATGCATCAAAGATGAACTGAATGGAGAAACAACACAGCTAAAACTAAAAGCAAAGGTCAAGTCACAGGGGTCGTAACATGAGTATATAAAAAAACACCTAGAAGGAAGAAAAACATTTACTGAGAGCCGCATCCGGCTTGCTCACATTGTCAATGTTGACACAGAAAGTGATAGTTTATGTAAGATGCAGGATCAGAAGTGAAAGAAAACAGAAAAAAATCAGCCTTGCCACTAGCCAGGTGTAAACAGAATGGAAATTTAATTATTAAACATATTTTTGTTGGATATACCATCATTAGAAAGAAATGTTGTAAATATTTCTGCATATTGTCTCTGTGCATGTGTGGGTTCTCTCCAGGTACTCCGGCTTCCTCGCACAGTCCAAAAACATGACTGTTAGGTTAAATGATCTCTCTAAATTCTCCCTAGGTGTGCATGGCTGTTTGTCATGTCTGTCTCTGTGTTGCCCTGCGGCAGACTGGGCAACACAGTCTGTCGCAGAGTGACTTTATTATATTTTTTAACAGTTGACTTTCTTGTGTCCTTTTTGTTTAATGTTAACTCAAGGCTTTTATTTATTTTAGTTTTTTAAAATAATTATTTTATTTGACAAATTGAAATAATTAGATTTGATTAAATAATCTGTTTTCTCAGTTTAACAAATTGATTTTAATGAAAAGTGTAAATGAGAAATATGTGCAGGGTGCACATATCCAGGGTGTATCCCGCCTCTCGCCCGAATGTTAGCTGGAGTTAGGCACCAGCACCTCCTGACGCCAGTAGGGAAAAGGTTGTTACATTTATACAAACAAAAAGTTTATAAAAAAGTTTTTTTTCATACCCTTAACCACAGTAGACTCGGGAATCCAGGTCTGAAGCCCCTGATTTATTTTTGAATTGTCCTGTATCTGGTTAAGTGGTACATTTGAAAAAGAGCAATAAAAATAAATTGCAAAAAATAAACAGCACAAGCAATGTGGAAACTTTTCATTACCTCTAATTAGCATTTCCCTTTGGGAGTTTGGATGTTCACTTATTATTCTCTCCAATTCTCTTCTATATTTCTGACACATTTAACATTTCTGAATTTTAAGATAGACCTTTAATTGGGGTAACGTTCTGATAAATACTGGGTGCAGGACCAGACACCAATTAATATTCAGTTATGTAAAAAAATAAATACAAATCTAAATCTGTCAGGGGTTGAATAGGATTGAAGTTATTAAGCCAAATGTGGTTTCAGCTTCAGGACTATTTGCTTCAGTTAAATACACTGCTCAAAAAAATAAAGGGAACACTCAAATAACACATCCTAGATCATCAATGAATTTGATTTCCATTGATGATCTTTGTGTGATTTTGTTGTCAGCACATTCAACTTTGTACAGGACAAAGAGAATATTTCATTCATTCAGATCTAGGATGTGTTATTTGAGTGTTCCCTTTATTTTTTTGAGCAGTGTATATAAACATGGCAATATGACTCTCTTACAGCCAAAGATATTTCTGTGAAATATAACCAACACTGCCACCTTTTGAGCTCTTGCAGGAAATACTCAGGAGTCATATTTTTCTTTTTCTTCTTTTATGTTTTTTTTTTTCAAATGCAGACAATCGGTATTGGACAAAGAAGACATTATAGTGTTTTAAATCAGTTTCATCAAAACTTTTTAAAATACTCAAACATGAATCAAGTTGGTATGCAAAGTTTATCCATATGGCAATTTTAACAGAAAAGAATCACAAACTTCTCATAAAACAACAAAATAAAATTCTTAAATTATGAACAAAGAACATTATTAAAAAGAAGAACAAAATCATTATATCAAATTAGCTAAAGTACCATGTAATGCAGGATGCAAAATTGGTAAAAGTGGTTCAAGTGGCTTTTTTAAAGAATCAGTAGAGTTGTGGAGTGATTGGATTGAATGAAACATCAGATACCCACAGGCTGTCAAAGGTGTTTGCATTCATAATAAACTGGTTCAATTGCAACTTTAGATAATGAATATGAAAAAGGAAACCTTCTCAGACAATAAAGAGAAGAGAGACTTTATAAAAACACCATTTATCTGCCACAAAGAACAGCTGCATCTAATCCTCACCGTACTCCTGAGCTTTAATGAAACTCCAAATATCATCAATTTCCTTCTGATTTGCCTTCACAGATTCAGCAAAATCTTTTCTTTCTTTGACTAAGAAATCTGTGATGGCGCGTGAGAGTCCTTGCAGGGACGTAGAGTTTGTTGTTGCTGCTTTCAGCTGCTTCAGCGTGGGATGAAACTCCTCAAGTTCTTCCTCAAAGACGATTGAGGCAACTTTAATCCTGTTCTCAAATTCTTTCTTTTGGAGGGGAAACAGAAGAGAAACTTATTAGAAGTACTACACAATTTCAGAGACACTTTGTCACGATTTATACTGAAATTATTAATAAAGGTGTCAAAATCTTTTCAGACTTGATCAATGACTCACCTTCTTGTCAGATGCATCCTCCAACCCGCCCTCATAGTACTCCTGAATTATTTTCTGAAATGTGCAAATGAAGAGCTGTATGTTACAGGATGAGAGCTGCAAAAGCATTTTTTACAATATAAAAATTGTAAAAAATGCTAAGTCATGTTTAAGACTTTAAGTGGTGATAAGTGCACAGTGAAAACACCACTCTATCTGTAAATACAACAAAATACCCTGTTGTCCACAATTTTTTGATTATTACTAATTTGTTTTGTCTCAGACCCAATTTAAGTGAATATATATAAACAAAAATTAAACACTTTACCAGGTGTTCTGTGTCAATCAGAGAGTTTGCTACAGAAACGAGGCCCAGCAGAGTGACGATGAAGAGCAGCCCATTGGTTGGTCTGAAACCAAACAATCCTCTGTTTCCATCTGAAGCTGATCTGGTCATGACTGCAGTGAAAACACACCCTAGGAAATAATGAGAAATTCACTTAACTTGGTTATTGCTGAAAAGAAAACTGAAATTTGTCTTAATTAAGAGAGTCATTGGTCTTACCCGAAGTGTAGAGAGAAGAGGAGCTGTTACTGAAGAGAAAACTCAAGATGTGACAAGATGACGCACATTCAATTCTGATAATACTGCCTCAAGAGTTTCACTTTAACATAATTTCTCTTTCGTTTCTGCTGTAAAACTAAAGGTAACTCATGATGAAGCTGTGACAGAAACCACAACAGTCTGACTACAATCTTTATCTTTGTCTTTATCTTTATTACTTGTCTCACGTCCCGTCTTGCCCTGCCCCACTTCTCGAACATTGACGTCTGGTGATCAGCACCAACACCCTCGAAACTTTGTTACGAACAAGGGTGTGAGAAACTGGATGGATGGAGAAGAAGCCACTTGACAAGAACTTTTATGAGTTTTACTAAGTTGTTATTACACTTCTGTTTCAAGGTATTTCCCCAGCTGTTCCTTTGAGGTTGAATTCCTTTAATTGTCTTACGCCTTTTTGAAAAAGAGTTTGGGACGTTTAAGAAGAACACATTCCCTGTTGTCTTTGGCAGAAGGCCAAAGTAGTAGAAAAAAAACCCTCTACAGCGGATCTGCTCAGTGTGGCCTGCACCACTTTCTCTTTCGCAGAATGGAAAATAATTCCCGCGGTTACAGTAAATCATGTTGGCACATTTCCTAATTGACAGCAGATCTTACAACATCAACAGTAAGAAGCTGACAGTAATCTCTTACTGTTATCACCTGGAACAGGAAGACAAAAATATACCTGGTTGCTGCATCAAAGAGTGGCACTCCTTTTCAAACAATACTTCATCTTTCCACTTCAAAGTTATTCTCTTTATTTGACTGGTACATCATAAAATCACAATAAACCACAAATATTCAGGCTGTAATTTGACAAAATCTGAACATATTCTAAGAGTATGGATACATTTACAAGGTACTGAACAATTACCCCAACAAAAGAAAAAAAGTTTTTCTAATGCAAATATTTCAGTTATACTGAAAATTATACATGACATATTCATCCCAAAATCCTCACATTTTCCACTGTGTTGAGTTCTGTTTGTTTCTAAAATATCAAAATAATTGTTTATGGATAAAATCATATTTAAATGTATCTGATGAGTATAAAAAATAAACCCCAACATGGCAGGAGGAACTCCAGTTTGTAGATCATTTTACTGTGATCAGTGTTGCTATTTTCCTTCTGCAGAAAATAATTATCTGGACAGAACTTCGTTCTGGAAATAATTATCTAATTTTACTTATCAACAACTCTTTTGTGGCATCAAAAAAAAAAAAAAAATCACGTTAATATTGCATTCTTATGTTGCTCAAAATCAAAACGTTAAAGTGCAAATCCAGACCATATAAATGTAAGAAGTTCACAAAAAAACAAAACAAAAACAAATTGAAAACAAAACTTATGTAGAGCTACAGATGGGTATTTGAAGATATTAGAAACTGCTAAACTGACAAATTTAACCAAATTTAAGCTTTATGCACCCAAAATATGATTGACAAAAATGATTACCGATCAAAAACCATTTGTATAATCACACTCTCTTCACTCAGTTCAGTTCTTTGCTTACAAAAACAAGAGAGCTTAGAAACTGACCATCTGTGACAGAGAAACGTTTTACGACTGTTACAGCCAATCTTCGCCATAATTCATGGCTTTTACAAAGTTCCAAATGTCATCAATTTCCTCCTGATGTGCCTTTATATCTTTAGCAAAGTTTTTCCTTTTTTGGACCAAGAGGTTGGTGATGGAGCTCGTGAATCCTTTCAGAGATGTAGAGTTTGCTGTTGCAGCTTTCACTTGACTCAACATGGGATGAAACTTCTCCAGCTCTTCTTCAAAGATCTGCGAGGCAACTTTCAGCTGGTTCTCAAACTCTTTCTTTTAAAAAGAAAAAACATCTTCGTCAGATATTCTGTGCAGTGTGTTTGTTACAGCTTTTAATTTTCCTCTACCCACTACATTGACCTTAACAATAAACTAAATAAATGATAGAAGAAAAGCTTTAACTCACCTTCTTATCAGCTGCATCCATCAGTCCACCCTCGTAGTATTCCTGAATTATTTTCTGAAATGTTCGGAAATAAGGGTTTACATGAGATGGGTAACATTGTAACAGCATATCTGAAACTCAGATATGCTCTTTAAACAGCTCTCTGTTTGAAGAGTTACTGCCATAACTGTAAGATTATGAAATTAAAAACAAATAAATAGAAATAAATGATTTGTAAATAACTTGGACTATAACACTACCTATCAATGAGTTCATAAAATTATATATTTCCTATTAAAAGAGCCCAATTACCAGTCTTTAAAAACAAAACTAAAACAAAAACGCACTCTTTATTTATCTCTAATTAGACATTTCAAAAGCTCCACTTGAAAGATGGAGATTAATTATTTCAGGTGTGAAAGAAAATTAAAGTGAAAATGACTTACCAGGTGACTTTTGCTGATCATTGAGTTGATAACAGAAACCAGAGCCAGAAGAGAGAAGATGAGGAACAATCCTTTGACAGCTGCTGCAGCCATAATTCCTGGAATCAAAACAACCAGGACTCTAAAATAATTTTACTTTTTAGTATGAGTTCAACCTGAAAGCATGTCTGTTTTTAGTAGAATATTTAAGCTTATCTGAATTAAAAATGTTACAGATCTTACCTGCTGTTTGAGAGGAGGAGCTGCTGTTAAGGCGAACACAGAGAAATGAATGATGCCTCTTGGGTCTTGGTTCTTGGACTGTGGCATGTGATGATGCTGTTATGCCAACACCAACAGGGACATTCCTCTTTGGAAAAAAACTATGACATCACTGACCGCTCAGCTTTCATTTTCAATATTATGTCAAGTTATTCAGTATGTTCCATGTTTTTGCCAACTCTGCTAAGTCTTGCCAAGTCTATTAATTTTATTAATAGATTAACTATTAATTATTAATAGATTAATCTATTAATTAATAATATATTAATCTAATTAATCTAGTAATCAATTAGTTTAATTAGTAGATTAATCTATTAATTTATTAATAGATAAATCAAATATTATATATTAATAAATTAATTAATAGATAACTAAAGAATAAAGGAATATATGATAATAAATGCACATAAATCAGTTTTAAATCCATATTTTAGCTTTTGGCCTGTTTTCAAGAAACATTTATTTAGAAATCCATAAGTTTTCCTTTCCCAGAAAAGAAATGTCTATGAAAAGAGCTACTTATCTAAACGTCTACTGTGAAAAACTAGGCAGGATCCAATTGTATATTACCAGCCTGTAAACTGAGGAAGTTGGTCATGTTAAGCTCACAGCATTTTTTTTAAGTGAAGGTGATAAAAAAACCCCCCCCCAAAAAACATGAAACAATGCTAAGACTTCAGAACAAGAGAAATGTGCACCTACTTCTTACAACAACCAATAGGTGGCAGTGTTGCTTTGAAAACAACTGACTGTATGAATTGACTTGTTCTCTTGAAGACAGATTTTTTTTAAGTGGATAATTTTACCTTCTAAAATAAAATTATATAATTTAATCTTAAAACAAACAACAAATGATGTGACACTGTAAAATTATCATCATTATGCCCTTATGTTCTTTATCATACAGTATAATAGAGTGCATCCTCTTTGGTTGGTAAGTAGCGCCAATCTTTCATACATTTAACCCAAATAGTTTTTCCTTTCTCATTTGTGTATTTTAATACTTTGACCTTCTGCTAAAGATAGTGTTGAAAACTTTATAAAACACAAAGGGCATAAAACAATTCAGGAAATAAGTCGAGCTTACAGGATCATGTTGGAAAGTACCTTGAAATACAACTGCAGCACAAAACGTTTAAAAACTTGTAAAAGCTTTTGTTATGTAGTTTTCATATCCTCATATGATTTACCAAAAACTTAAGCCTGTAAGTTACAAAAACAACTTGACAATTGTTTAATAAAGTCAACACGATAAAAATGATGGATTGCTTTAGAGGTGGTAATTGTTCTCCAGGTAATTTTTGTTAATTATAAAGGTGCGATCTGTATTGAACATAAACAATCCTCCAGTGGGTCTGACATCAGATATAGTTGCTGTGGCTGTGATTCCTTAAATCACACCCACAAATTAAAATAATTTCACTTTAAGGTATATCAGCTGAGTATATACATCTGAAGCCATATGTGTATTAATTAAACTACCTGAATTTAAAATGAACTGTAACAAGTATTATTGCTGTTGAAAAGAGGAGCTTGTGCTAAAGTGAGAACTAATAAATGAATAATGCCTCAGCAGTTTCAGTTTGAAACTATTTTTCTTTTGTTTCTGCTATAAACAGTTGCTGTGGCATGTGATAATGGTTTGACTTAAACAACAACTGGGACCTCACAGCCTCACAGACCAATCAGCTTTCATTTTCAATAATGTTTCAAGTTATGCTCTTAGGAACATGTGGAGTAAAAGTACAGAGTGCTTCTTATTTGTTCTGTCACAATATCTAAAAAGAAATGTGGGAAATTAGAACAAGCGATAGATGCACCAACCAGTAGATGGCAGTGCTGCCTTGGAAAGAAAAACTGGTCACACAAACTCGTCCTATGCACTTTGAGATACTAATTTAAAACAGAATCAAAAAGGTTTAGTTATTTCCTATTTTTCTCAGAATATTTGTCATAATGTTACAATGTTAAAATGTGGCATTCAATATTTTTGACATTCTTTTGTCTTATACAGAAAGTACAACTATGGGCACTTTTGTCACATGACCATAACCACAAAATGTCCAGATATCAGTCATCAGATTGAAAATGAAGGAACTTCTAGTGGTTTAGACTCCAGAGACCAACAAGCCACAAAACATCTGGTGACATCATTCAAACCTCCACAGGTCCACTCGATTTATTTTGATCATAAGTGATAGAGTGAGAGTCAATAAGATAGAATTATTAAGACATAATTTGGGATGATTTTACAAATACAGTACAAAAGGCTAAATGATGCTGTTATTCTGTTATAGTTTAGCCTGCTCCTCTTCCTGAATCTTGAGAAAGTCCCACGTTCTCTTATTTTCTGATTGATTTCTTCTATTAGTAGAGGATAATCTTCAATATGGAACTCCTCACTCTGATGAGAAAGAAAATAGATTTATCATTTAGCACATCAAGATTAAGATCTTAAAAATTATGATTACACAATTATAGCACCTTCAATTTTATGTATTGCAGCATGAACATCGAACAAATCTGATTTAGTGTCATTGACCAAAAATACAACCGAAACCTTTCAAAAACAAACTGAGTTCATGATTTTTTTTTTTTTTAGCTGTGCACAAAATAGTCAGTTCTTCCACTGTCTTGTAAAGTAAAAGAATAAAGTTACTTTTAAGCATAAAAACATTATGACTAACCTTCAGGTTCACAAAGAGTGATTCTGTGTTTCGAATTGTTTCACGGAGTTCAGTCTGCAAATCAACAGTGAAAATATATATTTAGTTAAGTTGTTGAAGTAGACTGCATCAAAAATGTAAGTATTGAACTTTTTTCTATATCCAGGTTAGTCAAAACATTATGTACCTGCTGTTTGTCAAACTGTGATCTTGTGGAGCAAAAGAGGCTCAGCAGAATAAAAACGAGGAACAAGCCTTTAATGGTTCTGGTGCCAAACGCTCCTCTGTTTCCGATACAAAGTATCACTGCCATCTCTGTTTCGAAGGTAAATTTAAAATAGATAAAATTGTTAAAATTTGTAGTTGTAATAGAGGTGTAGTATTGTATTTTACACTTACCTGAAATGTCACACTTCTTCTTCAACGAGAAACTGAACTGGATGGAATAACGCGACCATTTTTATATCCTCTTGGAGTTACTTCCTCTCCTTACAGTTTCACATTTGTCCCAGCATGTTTTGTGTTTATAACCACACAAAACTGTCAAGTTTCATTTTTCAAGTTAGGCTGCAGAGAAATGATAGTTGATACTTCAAACTAATATCTTAAAGCACTGAGAAGGACTTGTTTTAAAGTACAGACTAAGTATTCTTCTTAAATACAGCTGTAAAAAGATGTATTTTTTTACCCTCTGACATTAAATAAGACAAAACCATTGCTACTGGAAATAACATCAGTTTCTACATTCTGGAAAAATGTAAGGTTTTTATTGTCCTTCTTCTAATGAAGTTCTTCTGTTGTGTGAGTGCACCAGTCCCTCCTGCAGAAAGCCTTATCATATCTCTGACCCTGAGAGCTTTTGCATCTGTGATCAGACTTTTTATTTGACATTTGGGGAAATTGCTTCTTCCTCTCTGAGTGGTCTTCCAGCCCAAGTTAGTACAAGACTGTTTTTTCTATTACTAGCTCCAACCAGGATAACAACACTCTTTTTTTATTGTGTTGTAGGCTAATGTGAACATTCTGCGTACAAATACGATTATCTCGGACACAGAATACAGGTGGAAATGCATTCAAGTGTAATTTAATATTTGCTTTTCTAATAATCAACTCCATGTTAGACAGATTCTATTTGGTTATTTATTGATTATATGAATTATATTTGTCAGATTGTAAAACATTAAATTGTGGAAGGAAAAAAAAAAAACAGAAGAAACCTTCTATGGAGCAAACACTGAAACAATAAAACCTGATTTTGTGGATCACGTAAAATTCAACAAGAACATTCCACAGAATTATTGGGTGTGATAAATGTACTGTATAATTTTACTTGTTTCTTTCATATGTGTGTGTAAACAAGAAAACAGGCAGGAACAGTAGTCAAATATTTTAGAAATATTTAATATGGCAAGACATTTTCAAATCACAAAAAGTCATTTATTTCAGTGGGGAATTCTATAGTCAGAATCACCAAGAAGAGCTTTACAGCTCAGATTTCCTCTCTTTCAGGTTCATCATAATTCTTTCCAGTTGTGATATTTTATTTTTATAGTCTTTGATTTTTTCAGCCTGATTTTGAAGGGCTTTATGCACAAAACGTTTGGAAGCCAACACCAAATCCTTTACACTCTGGATGCTTTGAGCAATTTCTGGAAATTTGCGCCTCCCATTCTCGAGCATCTTATTGGAACAATCCAGTAGTCGTCTTGACTTCTCAAGAACCAAAGGACTGAAGATATTTCTACCACGTTATCAACCTGAAAAATAACACATGAGTTTGTTGCTGTAGGAATCTAAACGAAGAGATTTACTTTGTGTGTCTTACTCACGCTTCTCCTCATGCTTCTCGTTTCAGCAGCTCAACATTCTCTTCATCTCTCTCTGCAAATCCAAAGTGAATATTGCAAGATTACAAGGAATGCATGCATTTGTTGAAACATATGAAACAAGACAAAGAAAACATGTTACCAGCTGGTCCATGTCTATCCATGAATTTGCAGGGCAGAGCAGACCCAGCAGAGTAAAAATGAAGACCAGTCTCCTGACATGAACCACTTTCCTGTTTCTGAACATGACTGCTGCTCGCATCACACCATACATACTGTTGATATAGATATACAGTATACATATATTATTGTGGCAAATAGAATATAGATATCTTCTCAACACTCAACATTACAGAGTGGATTTCTATGACATACCTTAAGTTGTCGTATGAAGGTGTTGAATAAGAGTACTTGGACTCTAAGATGATTTTAATACTCTTCTTGTCTCCTCCCCCAGCCAGGGCTGCTTGTGTCTGAATTGATTGGAGCACACAGCTCTGCGTCTGGGTCTGACCCAGCCTTTTTCCGATTCTGGAATATACCCAGAATTTTTTTGTGAAACATTGAAGGAAACATCAAATGAAAAAGAAATGTGTCACAATCCTGAAAGCAGAAACAGTGCCAGCTAATTCCTTTATGCAAAAACACAAAATCTTACTCAGTACTTTTGGTGTAGTTTCTAGTGCTACAGTGACATAAAACAAAACTAAAATAAACTAAAGAAACTTTTCAACAAGAAATAGAGTACTAGCTCCTAAAACTAAGCTGGCAGATTGATCGGACAATGCTTAACATGCAACTAAAGCTACAGTCGTTCAGATCAAAACTAAACTTGTTTGATTTTTCATCACACTGTTCTGCCAAGCACAGAAAGTAAAACAATGAACATTTTTGTCATCTGACCTTTGTAAAAAAAATTCCTCTGCAGACCAGAATCAGTTGATCTGTCAGACTGTTGGTGGCCTTGAAACCAGACACCACAAATCTGTTTTCAGACGATGCTGCTGCTGCTACTAACACTGTTTGTGTACAGTACCTTGCCAATGTATGCATCTGTTGACATTTTTTGTTTTTTGCCAACATTGCTGGGATGTTATGTGATTGACCAGGGCAATGTGAATATAGTGGTTGAAGCATCGTGCAGTGTGGATGCTTTTCTTCAGCACAGAAGAAGAAGCCGGTCAGACTTGGTGAATTATTCTGTTACATTCAGAATTTTAAACAAAACGGTTTAGCTTTACTTCCACTTTTGAGTTGTCAGAGAGTCATCAGAGATGATTTAACCACACCTCTACTGGAGAGACGCTTAACTCACATCGAACACAGCTTGTCTCATTTAAAATGTAACCAGCTTGTCTGTAGCAGCAGACTCATTTCCTTAAATAGAAAGATATGAATCTGTGCTGCACTAAGTTTTTCTGAAAAATACAAATATGCAGTCAGGAACAACACAATACTTCACATAAGACCAGTTTGATGGAAACATTTTTTATTAATTGTAGACTCATTAGGAAAATCAACATAATTCATTCAGTAATGAAAGCAAAAGCTTTTATTATTAATAATGTTTGAAAACAAAAAGTTTATCTTATCATTTTAGATATATTACTAAGAATCACCCCAACAATGGGAAAGAATGACTAAACTAAATTTGAAGCTTCTAGGCACAGATAAAAATCACAACAGAGATCAAAACTTTTACAGTCCATCATCAAGTTCTTGTGATCTTAAAACATTCAAAACATAATGCAGATTTTTTGCAGTATCTTTTGCTCCTCCACTAAAAACTTTGTCCTTTAGGTCTAAGTAAGTCATCACTGTTTTTTTAAGGCTTTCAAATGCAAGAAAAGTTTGATAAACTGATGGATCCTGTGACATTTTCATTTGTTGAAGTTCAGGATGAAGTACTTTCATGTTCTCTTCATGGACTTTGCTGAGAATTTCAAGGCTGGACTTTACAAGCGTCTTTGGGAAGAAAAAAAATTACAAACATCAACACAATTTTAAAAAATTGCTTTTGTTCACCACAAATTAAGTTTTGATCTATTTAAGTGGCAAAAGAACTACCTTGTATTCACGAGCTTCATCTGCAGCTTCCTGAAGGTCCTGCAAGAATATTTTCTGAAATTGACCAAATACATACATTAGTATGGCAATGCACAACAAATGACATTAAATCATATAAAAACTAAAAGAAAATATGAAATATGAAAGTACTAAGAAAGAATATATTTGATTCTGCCCAAAAATGTTAATCAAAACATACATACCAATTGTTCCATATTTGTCAAATACTTTGCTTCATCCAAAAGTTTTGACATTGCTTCGATTCTGTCTTGTTTTCTTTCTGAAGGAGAAAATGAAAAAAAAATAATAAATCACAACAAAGTCAAACTTTACACTATTAAAATAACATCCAGAATCTGCCAACAATTAATAAATTATATTCACTTGGCCTTGAACAGCTGACTCTAACATTATTTGAAGGTTGTCCATTGTTTTGACCTGAAATGTACCACAAAGAAAGATTGTTGTAATTACTGCACATAAAAATCATAATGAAAATACAAATGAGTGTATGATTTTGCTTGGAGAACAATGGTTAACCCCAAAAGAGAACTTACCAGACCTCTTTTTAATAACGGTATATCTGCATTGCAAACCAAACACAACAGCGGTAGGATCAGGAACACAGATTTGATGAATGGGAATCCAACCATTCTTTTTTTTATATCTGTAAAAGATAATAATAAATACATTTCCATGGCATATAAAAATAATAATAGTAAATTAAACAATTTAATCTTTGAAAGAAGAAAATATCTTACCTGATTATAGAGTCACTTAACAGAAGGAATGGTAAAAATGATCCTTTATTATTTCCTTTCTCTCCCTGCAAGTTATGTGTAATCAGCCCTTCTACTTCAGCTTATAAAACATATGTGCATACAGCTGGTTATCGTTCCTCTTTTCTCAGTTACTTTCCGTTTCCATATTACATAACATTTCAGCTTAAAGTAAAGCTGAACACTCACAAAAATGCACACAATCAAATACAATCCATTAATAATTTGTAGACACAATCGTCACTTTTACATCAAATCCAGCAAGGTAAAGTTCATTTTGATCCAGTTTATATTAATCCAAAGTAATTAAAATTCAGGCAAATAAAAAAGTAGGTTGCATCTAATCTTAACTTTAATTGCAATTATTCCTTAAAATATCAACCTTTCTTCAGAGAGAGTTTTTAAAATCAGAACAAGGCTGTGGATGATTCAGCTTATAGGACAAGAAAGAGATATACAGGAGATAAATTTAGAAGTAAGAGTGACCTCTGACCTTGACAAATGAATGGTAATTTCGCAACAATGTGTAATAATGTTAACAGATGAAAATATGAACTAAAGGATTTTGGCATCTCCAGTGATATCTGAATAACAGGCAATTTATTACCTGTTATTTCCCACACAAGTCGAAATATTATGCCTGTTTTGAATGGTGGCTTGAGTATTTGGATAGAACCCACTGTGCACAAGAACATGAAAACTCCACACAGAAAAACTGGCTCAGAATTTTTGACACAAAGTTTAAATGTGCAGCCTCTTAACATTCCTGCATTTTTTCCCATGAACACCAAGGGGCAGTATTTTATTAAATTAGAACTTGAACATTTTTGTAACATAGTCAGAAGCAGGGACCACACTCAATATCAACAATGGCATACAGTGGAGAATAAACTGTGTGTTATGATTTAAGTTCATGGGTGTTTTTTTTAAAGGTATAAAATAGAAGCAGAAAATGACTAAATAGCTCATCATAGTGGATACAAAACCTAGCCAATATTTTATCCTCTGAACCTGAAAGGATAAAATATAAGACATTGATGTAAATACACTTCGAAATAAAAAACATCTGGTGTTCAACTTTATTTCAAAAGCACCTTAACTTAAAAGGACAAAATTGCTTTGCAAAATAAACATTATAAATGCCATTTTAAGGACACATATATAATACTAAAACACAAAATACTTTTAAACCAGCCATGAAGTTGAAAAACAAAACAAAACAAAAAAAAAAACAACAACCACATAATACAATTGCTATATGTAGCATGAAAAATGATGACTGCCACAGCACAAGCTCAGGCCTCTCTGAGTTTCCCTTTTATTTCAGTCACAATCAGGAGCATCTGATCAGGGGGCCAGAGTGAGCTGAGGGTTGTATAATGGTGCAGCAGCTCAGACAGGTAAGGTAAGAAGAAACATTAAAAATAACTTGGACAATTATCCTGAAATGTATGGGATGCCAGTGAGTTGAAGCAAAAATGGGAGACAGCTCATATTTGCATGTGCCAGATCAAATACGAATACACTTAAGCAAGTAAGTGTTTGAATGAAGTTGGATTTTTAGCTTACATACAATTGGATAATTCCAAATTAGAAGCTCAGTGACTAGATAAACACATATCAGGAAATGTCTTATTTCCGTCCTATCTCAGCAAAACAGACAAACCGACATACAGGAAGCGAAGGATGCTGAAACAGGTTGACAGCGCTCATTTCCTAAAAATCAATCAGGCGCCATTGGCAGGCTCTTTGTGCCGTTTCACCGGGGGTTCTGATTGCGCAGCCAGCCTCCGTCACCACTGCGTCAGCACTGATGAGCTCAGCGGAATGGGAGGGGCGGAGGGAGGATGCGAGCAGAAGATGGGAGAGAGACCCAGAAAACGAGCAGCCGGAAGGAGAGAGAGCGGGGTGTTGCCGCTCTGAGACGCTCTCACGCATCAAAGAGTAACAGCAGCAGCTGAGCGAACAGAGCATCCTTCTCCCTGGGAAGAAGAAACAAAAACAAGCCTTTGTATTGTTAGACGGAATCAGAACGAGATTTACCCCGAGATCGATCTCGCTGTGAGACAATTAAGGAGGCAACAGACCGGCTTTCAGCACCTTGGACAGCGATAATGGCCCCAATGCTGGAGGACGGAGCGCAGCCCGGTGAGTCTTTACCCTGATGATGGAGTCAGTCTGTCTGTGGTGTGAATTAACAATAGTTAAAATGCACGTTAATCCCTGACTAAAACTTCGTCATTTTTAAACACTGAGAGCTAATTTTATAATCATTAATTGTGTACTGAGATGATTTATTGAGTTAGACTACAATTGAGTATGTACAAATGAATGAAAATTACATTTCTAAAGTCAATCGATGTTAAAAAAAATCTACAAACATATATTTTTTAAATGCTGCCTATTATCCTTGGTAAATTAATAAATACTCGTTATGTTTCCGACGGTATTAATAAAAGTGCATATTTACTTTTTATTTAATGAAAGTAAAAAAAAAAAAAAAATCGACCAATTTCGATTTTATGAATTTAACAGATTTAGAGTGTTCCTAGTAGAAGTACAACCTGAAAATTACAGCTGTTTTATTTATTATTTTTTATGTCCTCATGCATTACAGCCCTCCCAGTGTTTCGTCCATCTGTCTGTCATTACAGCCTCAAAAAACATCCCACACAGGAGTACAGGCCAAATATTAATACAAGTGGTGCGATTTAAATTATCCAGAAGGTCTCTCTTTAGTTTTCTACACACACATATATATATATATATATATATATATATATATATATATATATATATATATGTATATATATATATATATATATATATATATATATATATATATATATATATATATATATATGGCACCGGAGAGTCTATTAATACAGGTGTAATGTAGAATGAAAAGCTGTTTATTGTCATAATTTTGTTTGAGCTGCACTGTCACATTAATATCACATTAACCATGCCATGGCGTCTATTATGTGTGAAAAAAACCTGAATAAATGATCTAACACATTAGCTGTAGGCAGAGGAAAAAGGCAAGCGTCTGAGTGATTGGTCACCACCCCCGCGCCTCAATCTGATCTCTCTTTTTAGATGGGTTAATCTGAGTGCTTTTGCACCGGGTCGCCCTCCTAATTGTGGGAAATGAACTGCATTTTCTCTTTTGAAATCAAGCCATTAAATCTGGCTGCATGAGAGGGCGACGGCCTTGGAGACAGAGCTCAGCCACACAAAACAAAGAAAGCACACAGCGACAAATATCCCTTCAACGTCACCATAGCGATACCATGTGAGACATAAAGGCTTTTGAGAGAAATGACTGTGGTTATAATTGTGGTAATATCTTGCCCTGTAGCATTTTGTCAAAATTACCCCTGCTTTTGAGTGGAAGGAAAATAAATGACTATAATCATTTCCAAATGACATATTGTGAAATCTTCCTTTGCTATTTTAGAAAACCAGCAGCGACTCATTCATTCTGAGAAAGCAATAAAAAGCTGTGCAAAAAAAGTCTAATAAATTTCTCAGGTCAAATGTCAGGCTACTCTGTCTCATACATGAAAATGTCAGCTATGATATGACCAAAAGAACAAAAGTACAAAATGGCAGTGGGGTAAAATAAAATGACCTTCCCAGCTGTTGAAATTCACACATGTCTCTGAGCAACCATTATCTTTATTTTCGTATCTCTGGAGTCACAGGTCATCCATTTATGATTCTGGCAGTTTCTGTTCATGTATTACCAGCAAATCTGGAATACAAAAACAACACTTTGTTGAACAGATTGCATTGTTTTCATCCTCATTTGACTCCAGGCTGCAGGGTGTGTCAGAAGAAGAAGAATTATTCAGCTGCTTTAGTGCAACAGTACAATCATAGTGGCTCGTGTTGCAGATGCTGCTTTGTTTCAAAGTGTGTTTTCTTATTAAATTTTACCCTTTTCTTTTCACTTTCTTCATTTTTTCTTCCTCTGCCTTTCTCCAAACTCCTCCACAGTGGCAGTGCCTGTGGGTGTTGCTGTGGTGAGTGTTTTCGGCCTTGTCTTCACTGCATCAGCCTTCGCCTGGATCTGTTGCCAGCGCAAAAACACCACCAAGTCCCAGAAGACGCCCCCTTACAAGTTTGTGCACATGCTTAAAGGCGTGGACATCTACCCAGAGAGCCTGAGCGGCAAAAAGAAGTTTGCGGCAGCCACAACCTCAACAACTAATGACACCGCCAAAACAGATGTCAATGGAAACTGCCAAACTACGCCAATGAGTCCCAGTACTGGTAAACCCGCCACAACTCCAAATGGTTCCAGATCAGCCCTGCACCTTGATCTTGAGAAGCGGGATCTGAACGGAAACTTTACCACCAAACCTTTTCACCACCACCACCAGACGGTGCGCAGCTCCCCAGACCTGGAGCTCCCCTCCCACAAACAGGCTTCACTCAACCTGGTGCGATGGAACGGCGCGACCTATCTTCCCCATCCAGCGCACCGTCGAGCCAGGCACCCACCTCAGCTGTCGACAGGCCTCAGGCAGACGAAAAGGAGGGTGGTCTAGGGACCCTCCACTTCTCTCTTGAGTACCAGGAAGAGAGGAAGGCATTCATTGTTCACATCAAGGTAACACACATTCATATTTATTTAGGGGAACTTTCTGAGTGTTTTCATGCTAAAATCTTGTCTTAACATCTATACATTTTCTCCAGGAGGCCCATGGTCTGACTCCAACCGATGAGCAGTCACTTACGTCTGACCCCTACATCAAGCTGACCCTGCTGCCGGAGAAGAAGCACAGGGTGAAAACAAGAGTCCTTCGGAAGACTCTGGACCCGGCTTTCGATGAGACCTTCAGCTTCTACGGGATCCCACTGGCTCGAGTGTCCGAGCTGTCCCTTCACTTCATGGTCCTGAGCTTTGATCGGTTCTCTCGCGACGAGGTCATTGGAGAGACCCTCGTACCTTTGTCTGGAATCGACTTGTCGGAGGGGCGTGTCCTGATGAGCAGAGAGATTATCAAGAAGAATGTTAAGGTAAGATGTGGAACAAAAGTGGAAGTACTTTCATACTTT